TTTATTTATTTAATTTACATGCTGCCCACTCTACCCAAAGGTCTCTGGGCGGCTTACAACAATTAAAATTCAATACAATAAAATATAAAATGATTGAGATACAATTAAAATACGATTAAAATACAATTAAAATTGCCACCATCAAGACCCACAGTTAATGTTATTTCAATTAAAAGCCTTCTGGAACAGGAAGGTTTTGACCTGGCGCCGAAATATCATCAGTGTCGGCGCCAGACGAATTTCAGTCGGGAGGGTGTTCCATAATCTGGGGGCAGCTGCCGAGAAGGCCCTTTGTCTACAAGCCATCCCTCTTACCTCCTTGAGGGATGGCTCTTTCAAAAGGGCCCCTGGCTAGATCTTACCTGCCGGGTAGGCCCATGTGGAAGGAGGCGGTCCTTCAAGTTGATAGTCAAGTTGTCATACTCTGTTTTTTCCTACAGAGTTGATGTTAATGATATGAGGACTTCAAATTTTCCACAGAATCACTATACCATGTGGCATTAAGTACCTGACAGAAGCTGTAGACTCACAATTAGGCAATTCTTCAGAATGGCAAAGAAAATCAACAGCAAAATTTGTACTTTCAGCATAGTTTTATTCAAAACATACCTAGGCAGCATGTTGTTTAGCTCCTGAATGTACGTTACAGCAGGATATTGTAAAACAAGGAAATAAACTACCAATACAGATTGCAATTTACATTCCTAAGGCATTTAGGTTTTTAAAAGATGCATCTTCCAGGACCAGGCAACATGACTGGATGAGTGCATTAGTAGAAATGCCCATCAAGATGGGGCATCTAGTCTGAAACTATACAATTATGTGTTTTAATCCCCCCTCCCAATTCCCCCCCCGGCATGTTTGCATTAGTCTCTCAACATATTGTACCAAAGCAAAACCAAAGACAGAAATCCTAAACTTTATTGAAAATGTTAAAGTTGTTCACAGAACAGCAGTAGTAATCTACTCTTCAAGAGTTTGCAAACTATTACAAGGCTAATGAAAGGTGCCACACAAAGCCAGAGATCTGCCTGGAGATGCTTTGTCCTACACAAGGAGGCTTGAGTAAGAGGAAACACTTGTCTGAAAAAGGCACAGTTGAAACAGGTTCAAATGCTCAGCTTACAACAGGTATCGCCCACAACACACCAAGTGTTTCTGGGAACTTTTTGTTAATGTAACACAGTTGCTCATGGAAAATATTTTCTTTTTCTTTCCTTTTTTTTTTTTTAAAAAAAATGCTTCTGTTGATTTGTCTTGGCAACTCCCATATATCAATGGTGGTAACAGTGTAACAGCTTTGTTCCCATCTGACAGAAAATAATGGCAGTTCTGCAAAGCAAATGTTAAACATGACCGTATGTATTTATTAGTTCCACAGTGTTTTGACAGATTACAAGGGCTGCAATTTAAAGGATGCTGACACGCTCACTGAGGGCTTTCAACTCTGCTTCTTCTGGCTCAGGATTTTCACTGCGGTTCACGCTTGGACTGATAAGGTGTGCTGGATACTGCAAACCATTTTCTCCTGCATACTGTTCCCACCGCGAATCATCGCTTTCGTGGGTGATGTAACGTTCTCCTATTTTACATTCCAGCTCTCGCAAATCTAGCCAGGTTTGGTAATCCTGTCAGGAGGAAAAAAATAACCCATTGTACTGACATTTGAAAACTGTGAACGTTTGAGACAATATGGCAAATACCCATATTTCTATTTTCCAAAGATAGCATACATGCTATTTTTCAAAGCTAAGGGTTTCTACAAATTTTTGTCTAACAACTCATACAAGTGATATTTGAAAATACATCAAGACACTTATTTTTACAAGAAAATACCGCCAAACAGCTGTAGAACTAGATTTGAATTTCACGTTCTCTCCTTCAAATGCCTTATTTGTTTACTCAAAATATATTTGCCATACCATTCCTTTTAAAAGCCTCAAAGACTGATGATGGGCTGAGTTAAAATAATAAATTAGTAAAATGCAAGACACCCTAATAGAATAAAGAGGAACAGCAATTAAAAACAAGTTTAAAATACAATAGAACCAAAAACAGATGGTCTGTAGATACTAAAGCTTATTCAACAAGGACATAAATAAATACCTTACAGATCAGAAATGAAACTTAACCATTGTTAATAACTACCATTGTCATCATCTTAAAAATTCCTCTAATTCAGTGGTTCCCAACCTTGGGTTACCCAAGTATTCCTGGACTCTAACTCTCAGAAGCCTTCACAATTGGCTGTTCTGGCTGGGCTTTCAGAGAGTTGCAATCCAAGAACACCTGGGTTACCCAAGGTCGAGAACTATTGCTCTAAACTTAAGAGTGAAAGAACTAGTCAAGACCTCTGTAGGAACGGAGCTCCACAATTTTAATTCAGTGTAACAAAGGAATACTTCCTTTCTGCATGAACTCTTGCCATTCTACAGGTTGCCTCCATGCTAGTACAAAACCAAGCATCCTGGAACCCCCTTGAAATTGTGAGAAGCTTCCTTATGTAGACCATTAGTCCAACTAGCTTGGTATAATGTACCTTTGGCCATCAGGATCTTTCTAGGATTTCCAGTAGGAGTTCATCTCAGCCTATCTGGAGGATGCTGGGATTTGACCCTTCTGCATGCAAAGCACATGCACACTAATGTGCTACGGACTCTACTACCATGACGATGCTCATTAACAGATGTATGCCATAAGGACATTCAAATATACACCTGGCTTCTGGGAGCCCATCATATGGGCCTACTTTTCAGCAGCTCCGACATAAGGACTGTACCATATAAACTTAGCTTATTGTTGTACATATCATTCTACTTACATTTGGAGTGGCAGTTATAAAAAATATTGCTTGCAGTTGATATCTAACTAGAAATACACTGAAGGTGAAAGGTATTAAATTTACAGCATTACCTGTAGCCATGGGTGGCTTAATGTCTTATCCACACTGTACCGCTTTCTCATTTTCACTTGCAACAAATTATTTATGAGATCAATAGCTAGGAAAAAAAAAAACACTAATTTCAGAAGACATCACTCTCAAATACCTGTTTGAATACCATAAAGTAACAGGACAGATACAATAACAAAAATGAAGCTGCATGATAGAATTGAATTAATCAGTTGACATAACTTGTATTTTTTAGAATTTTCATTAAGTTACTAGCCACACCTATGTGCACATTCTCTCTCTCACTCTCTTTTTCTCATTCCCTTTAAAACAAAATCTAACATACTCAACATCTAATAATGTAAAGGTCATGCTCCTTGTTCTGTAATATCTCGTATGCAGCTGCAATTCTGCTTTTCACTGGTCATTCCCCGCTATGTGAGAAGCTGCTTTTAGTTGGATTAAAACAAATTTTTAAATTAGAATTTGTCAATTGATAGTAAACAGTTTAGAAAGCAGGAATAAGAAAAGATATATATTTTAAAACCTCATCTGGGATAGAATTGATTTATGAAGGTTTGTGGGTTTTTTTTGGAAAAAATCATCCACAAACAAATAGTTTAGAAAACAAAGATTTTATAATGAAAGACAAAGAGAGCTGAGTTTGAGGTCATGGCATGCAACATATACTTGTTTGGCTTAGCCACAATACAAAATGAAATATAGTTGTTTTCATTGCTAACTAGATTTGTGCTCTAGATTTCCCCACCTTTCTCTTTCCAGTTTGTACTAAAGCTGAGCGTGTGTGTGGATGAATTTTTGTGTTTCTCTTCTATGAGCTTCGAGTGTTCAGGTCACAATTAATGTGCTTGTCTTTTCTTTTCTTTCTCTGTTGCTCTGTCTTCTTTTTTGTGGTGATGCAAATTTCACTGCCTGCTGGCCTTTGAACCATGACCAGAAGGGTACCTGTAGACAGAACTAAAAACCTATGTTTCTCTGACTGTATCAAGCCAGCCTTCTCAAGCCTTCTTGGTCCATTCACTCCACTGGAGCAACCTGGATGGATACAGCCATCAACTAGGAGGAGGGTTCTTTTGTGTGTCTCTGACTCCAACCATAACCAACTAGTCTCCTTCTCAACATCTACCTATCTGCTTCCTTCCTGCTGTGTTCTGACTATATCCTGATACTGCTTTGTAATGTCAGGGCCAGAACTGTGTCCTGCTTACCTAAAGGAAGCCTCCTGTATGTTTCTCATGCTCACCTCAACCAGTCCAGTTTCACAGTATCTTACTTGCCTCCAAGCATCTAGCTCCTACTACTTTACCAGGCCTTAGTGACAGAGTCTAGACAGAGTGCTAGTCTTTTTTGCTCCTTTGGGAAGTCAGTGCCCTGGCACCTCAGCCTGACATGGTAACACTCACATAGCTTTCTTCAGTCATTTGTCATCCAAAGTTTCACCTGGCCTTGCGGCAACAGCTTTATCAACGTTGCTTGTCCCTTTGGGAAAAACTGTCTGGATGTTCCTAACAAAAGGCTTCTGTGGGTTCTCTCTACAATGGCCTTTGATGTTGCATGCTCAAAGTTCCTGCTAAGCACTATGCAAGAACTTAGGAGATGGTGGGATGATTACAGACAGACTGCTATGGAAATGGAAAGTGTACTTTGGAAATGTTGACGAGGCAATTCCTAACTGAGAGTTCTTTTGGGTGATGAGCTATAAGCTTCAGTTGCTCTCATATTTGAAGGTTTTGTATAGGCAAAAATCCCTTCTAGTTGTGCACTTCTGACTTCTCGAAATGGCAATGGAGGAAGCATAATTGACACACCAATATGGCAAGTCCTTGTATTTTGTAATGTTAATGAACCTGTTCCTTCACCAACATCTCTCTGATCATTCCTTGTCTGCACCGCTGGGATCCTCTCCCAAATCAAAGTGCCTTTTCTATGGCAGTGACCCAGATAGCCTTTTATTTCTAGGGCACTATCCACCTGGCTAATGCTGCTGCCTCTGATCTACAGAACTGTGGCTGTCGTGCAGGTCTTGTATGTGACAGCATCCTTCAGTCCGCTGCAGACTCTGAATTGATCAGCCTATCCGTGTGTTGCACAACACAATTTTGAAGTGCAATGAACTGTGGGTTTACCCTCTTCCTCCATTCTTGAGAATGAAGGCCAATCATCTTATAGTTGGTGGATATTACATGTGCAAGTCTAGTCCAGGCTAGTCTTTTCCCTTATCATCACTTTGATTGCAGCCTCCTCTGCCTCCCACAAGTCTTTTAGATTTTGTGTTGGCAAAATTTTTAGCCTATTAATGCATTGCACAAGACAAATTCTTTGGCTCTCCAGTCTCCATGCATCCTTCCTTAACTTCTCTACCAAACACTGACATGCCTGTCAGAGGCCCATGTGGGTGAGGGCTAGTGAAAGATGACCTTTCACAAGAAAACTGTGCACCACTTCACCTCTTAGCTGGTGCCCAAGCAGAAGGTCCACTGTAATTGGCCACATTAATGTGATATCCACCAACTACAAGATGAACCAGACAGTCGTCAGCTAAGTGGAGAAAACAGAGAAGAACCTGGCATGTTCTTTCTATTGGCTTTATAGTAATCTCCTGGGCATGTGACATGGTGGGAGCAAGACGGTCCTGCATACACCCCTTTGTCCTCTGATAGGTGGCTGTTCTAATGGGAAGAGAACATCATGCTCAAAAAAAGAATGCCTAGAGCAGCCTTCTTGATCATCCCACAATGGTGTGAAAGCTACCTCATCAAGCTTACCTGCATCTTCTTCCTTGGGACTCAAGGATAAGGTGCATTTATTTAAGTGTGGGGTGTTTGTTTTTCAATTACAATTTTTTTCCAGTCTGGCCAAGTCTACACCATACACTTCCCCCTTTTCCAAGCAGTTTCCAAGGTTATGAACTGGATCCAAATGTGTGTTACTGCACATCACTATCCAGGTCTTGAGAGATGTCACTCACCAGCCATAATGAAGCTTTTGGTCTCTGCCAACCACATGAGGCTACATCTCCATCTTCTGCTTGAAAAATCTCTGTGAATTCTACCTGGATTTGTATTGGTGGAAAAGCCAACCTCTCAGAAGGAAACCTCCTGATACCTGTGAGTTCTGTCCAGCGGATTTCTGCCAATGAGCTTCCCTGGGGTAGTCTCTCCTATCAGGAAAACTACTGAAACTGAAGGGTTGGCTGGTGGGCTGCAGCTGGAGAGACTAATACCTTCACACACATACCTTAGGGCATACTAAAATATGCGAAGGGCATTCAAGAATGGAAACAGGTGTGCTCCTCTGTCACAGTTTAATGCTTCTACCTATTTGTTCAATCTGACATTTCTTTATTTCTTTTGCTCATCTCTTATTCTAGCTTCTAAATACATGTGAGGCTGCTTGGTGTTACAGATGGGCAGATTTGTGGTTTTTGGCTACAGCTCCCAAATTTCATGGGACGTGGTGGCGCTGCGGGCTAAACCACAGAAACCTCTGTGCTGCACGACTGACTAAAAACGTCAAGGGGAACCTTTACCTTTACCTTACCCAAATTTCAACAGGCAGCATGGCCATACATTTATCTATTAAAGCACGACTAAGTGCTACCTACTAAGGGACATGGTGGCGCTGTGGGTTAAACCGCAGAAACCTCTGTGCTGCAAGGCCAGAAGACCAGCCATCATAAGATCGAATCCATGCAACGGAGTGAGCTCCCATCACTTGTCCCAACTCCTGCCAACATAGCAGTTCCAAAGCATGTAAAAATGTGAGTAGATAAATAGGTACCACCACAGTGGGAAGGTAACGGCGTTCCGTGTCTAGTCGCGCTGGCCACGTGACAACGGAAACTGTCTTTGGACAAATGTCGGCTCTATGGCTTGGAAACGGGGATGAGCACCATGCCCTAGAGTTGGACAAGACTGGACTAAATGTCAAGGGGAACCTTTACCTTTACCTAATTGTTACCTAAAGCCATATATTTATAGCCCCTGAAATTCTCATAAACTGGGTTCACATTTTTAGATTGGTTAATGACAATTTAGTGATCAGCTCAGTGGATGAATCAGCAGCTGATTTCGGAATGGCAACTTGTATTGCTTTTGAGCAAGTAGCCCCTTATGTTTGACAGGAGAGAGCTATTTGTCCTGCTTGCCCTTGTCTGACTCAGGAAATGAGTAGTATTCTCTTTGTCCAGGCTTCAGGTATTTTCCCACTTGGCGCCAAAGCTATGTCATTCTCTCCCCCAGGACCTTTATATAGAACCAGAGTTGTACAAATTTACATGAGATCTGAAGCCCTATTTGTTCAACTAGAAGTCGCAGGTGTCAGGTGTAGGAGAGGTGAGCGACCAGTGTATTTTTCATTGGAGTTTTAAACTGGTTTGTTAGTAGCTGGCTTAGATAATATTAATGTGGTTAAATGCTATGTTGCATGTTTGTACAGTACATTAATTGATTTTATTGGAATGCACTCTGGTGCAAAGTACAATATAAATTATGAGGAAGAGGATGTGGATGGGGTAGAATAGTCTTGAGCAGAATATTGCTTTTCAATATAATGAGAACAGGCCAAAGCCTTGACACCAGCATGCAGTTCCTTCTATTGACAATCAGACGTCCTCCACATTATAATGAGAAATATTGCCATACATTAGAGAGGTGAAACAGAAGCTCTGGCTTTGAAATGCAAGGCAGCAATCAAATGAATTGACCTCAGTGTGCATTTTTCACATGTTCCCTCTCTGGCAATAATTTATTTTCCACCTGCTACCACCACAATTAGTCGCATCATTACTTTTCTCTAAATAGCAAAGAAGCAGGGATATTCCAAGATCATAAAAATAATCATCTTGATGAGGAGACATATGCATGTCTACATATATAGCAGAGCTCCATGTAGAATTAGGTATAACTTTTACTGACGGCAGCTGCAGAACAAGAAATGAAGTAAATTTTGGTGTTTTGATGTACTCGTGTCTCCGGTACACATTAGCTTCCTTAAAGATGAAGTTAGCTGCTATGTCTATTTTTTCTTAATTTTTAAAAAATATCTGTGTGCATCCAATTTTATTTGGAAGCCTACCGTGCATTGAAATAGAGGAAATGTTTAATCCCTCCATTTTCCAACCTATTTTCCTAAAAATAGCAGATGTATTTGCATGTGTGCATATAGAAACATGTGCTCACATGAAACAAATGAATTGCTATAACCCCCCACACACACACTAAAAATTGCAGCTGCACCCAAGAGGAGGAATAATTTTCAGTAAAACCAAGTTGAGGAAGGAAGGATTAAATTTGGGATGTTCCCAAAACTGTTTTAAAAAGAAGAAGAAGAAAAATTAGCTGTTAGCTATCTCATTACTGTGGAGTACAGTGGAGTCCTCAGGTATTCTTTGGAAAAACATTAGCTAGAAAACTCTAAACTATGGTCCCCTCCAAGCATCACAATACTCCTATACCTATTACTTTAGTGCTGGAAGAGAGGGTTAATGTGTGAAAATGCACACGTGCACTTCATGGTTGGATTCCACTCCTGGCCAACTTCTTTGGGGTAGCGGCAGCTATAGCTTTTTATATATCCTGTACACTTCTCCCTTTAACAATGCCGGGGTTAGGAGCATCAGAGCCCTGTTTAGAGTTCAAACTATGTATAATTCTTATGTCCACCAAATGTAAATACAAAGCATGAACAGCTGACTGACACACATACCACTCCCCTCACCCGTGTCAGCCTCCCACATGCCCAGCACTCTCCTTGGCCACTACGTAGAGCTGCCATGACAGGAGAGAAGGCCAGTTGGGTCACAGCCATCAAACCATACACCATCGCACTGCCAACAAAAGGGGTGTCTGGTAAGCCCAAGACCCATCTTTCTCAGGCCATTTCCTGGAAACAAATAGCAGCGCAGTGTTTATTGAATATTTATTTTATTTATTTAAATATTTGTTTAAAAATATTTAAACAACTGTATATAACCAAAGCCATGCTGCTCAGATCCGTAGAATTCAAGGGTAAAGTGTATACTTAAGAATGCCTCTGACCAGAACTACTATGGCAAGAACAACCTATTGCCAAAATCCTGCTGAGAAGAGAAACTATGTAAGTAATTGTCTTCTTTTACCAGGATGTCCATCGCACAGCTGGTTCCATACTTACCATGTAACAAGACACTCTGGCACATCTGGGGAGGGGACTGCTTGCACAATTCCTCTTCCCCATGCAGTTTCTCCAAACAGGATTTTGATCTATGAAATTAGGTTTCTTAATTTTTTTTCATCCAGAGTTCAAAGGAAATTGGCTAAGCAAGCAGCAATTTCGCTATTCTCCATGATGATAAACCCAATCGACAAAAAAACTGTAGGGTTTGCATGACATTTATGAAGTCTGGTACCAGATTCATGCTATGCAAAGATAGTAAGATAAGCATGTGCAATAATGGCATAAGAAAGACTGGACACAAATATTACCCCCATTATGTTCCTTCTAAAAATTAAACATCAGGCATCACTTATTGACATTTGCAGGGGCAGTCCAGGAGTACTGACAGGCTGGACATATCTTTAGTTCCAGCCCTATTCTTTGGCTTCTAGCTTATGACAGGGTGTTGCTTTTATCTTGTTTCCTGGTTTAAAATCTGATTTTATCATTTTAATTGGGTTTGGTTTTTTGGACAGTCAGTACAGAAAGACAGGGTATTATGTCCATCCATCCAAGTGCATGCACTCTCTCTCTCTCTCTCTTTCTCTCTCTCTCTCTCTCACACACACACACACACACACACACACACACACACACACACACCCCTACAGTATATAAATCACAAACTGTTAAATGGCTGGACGTGTGTGTGTGTGTTTGTGTGAGGGAGGGAAGGTGGGAAGGAGAGGGGAGAGAGCCAGAGCTTGATTGAGATTTTGGTTTTTCTTATATATGTGTGTGTGTGTATTTCTTATATGTGTGTATATATATAAGAATTTTATGAAGTAATACCTTCATGAGAGATTTCCTTCCATGGATTGGGCGGGTACATGAAAGCAGCATTCTGGATTTGATCGTGAATGTCCTCATCTTCGTTGAAAGGAAATGTACCACTAAGGCTGACATAGATAATAACTCCCACAGACCACATATCCAGTGATCTATTGTACCCTTTGTTTCTCAGAACTTCAGGAGCAAGATAGGCTGGTGTACCCACAACTGAACGTCTGAATGATTTCTCTCCAATGATCCGGGCAAAACCAAAATCACAAAGTTTCACCTGTTTGGTACAAAAGTTGATGACACAAGCCCATTATAAACAAAATGTGAATATATGTATGTAAATAGAATATATGTGTGTGTGTGTGTCTAAAAATACTGTGATGTACCCATATTATACCCACATATACGAACAACTGATTAGCATATTGAAATATAAATAGAAACTGCATATCATTTTTGGTATTACCAATGGGTACAATTTTTATAATCAATATATGTATACAGCATGATCCTTTATATAGTTGACTTTCCACTTTAAATTTGATTCCTATCCCACCTTCTTCCCCATGCTGTGACTCTTGGTGACGAACACAAAATACTTAAAATTTACAAATAATTAAAATTTACTAATTAAAAATCTAAAAGTGTAAGATACATATATTTAACAACACAATTTAATAACTGTAAAATGAAGTTTTAAAAGCCCACTAAACCTCTCTACCTCAATTGCCTGCTGAGGGCCTGAACACCTCTCTGAAGAGGTAGGACTTCAGTTGTCCAAAGAAGAGGAGGGTCAACTCACTCCCAATAGTGCGAGTTCCGTAAGATGGGAGTAGCCACAGAAAATGCCCCCTCTCAAGTTGTAGCATTCATGCCTTGTTATGCAAAACAGGTCATGCATTATTCATGTCTGTGCTGATGTGCTTGAGACGTGGGGGTCACCAGAGATGTTAAAAAGGTACAGCATGAGAGGAGAAGAGTGAGTAGAGTTCAGGCAGAGTTAGAGTTAGAGTGAGACAGAGAGAGAGAGAGAGAGAGAGAGTTGGGAGATCTGAGGTGTGATTAGTCTTAGGAGAGAATAGTAACTTGTGAGATTTAAATAGAAGATTGAGGCTTGATGAACCTGAAGAAAATACTTATGAATTATTAAAGAAACGTCTGTAATTAATAAACCTGTTTTAAGAAAAAGTGAAAACTGAATGGACCTTCATCTTTCCTAAGTAAAGTACGTTGATTTAGTGATCAACTGGTGGCAGCGTGTGAAAAGGTGTTTCGTTTGCCTTCATGTGCTCTGTGTTTGGAAGACAAACAGGGGCCACGAGGGGCAAACATCACACAAGTCTTCACCAGCCATGCTTGTGAGAGGTGGGACCAAGTGAAGGCACTCCCCTGACAATCTTAAGACCTCTTTAATACATAGGGACATTATCTTTTAGATAGACTCGACCTGAGTTATAAAGGACTTTAAAGGTCATGACTAGCACTTTGAGCAGGACCCAGAAACAAACTGCCAGCAAATTAAGCTGTTGTAATGTGAGGGTGGGTGGGATGCTGGTAACTGGCCCCAGTCTGTCTGCAGCAGTTTGTACCAGCTGACATCACCAAACCATCTTCACAGGCAGCCGGACATAGAACACATTGCAGCAATCAAAATGAGAGGTAACCAGGACAGGGGCCACTATGGTTCATCAGGCATCTCAAGGAATAGGCATAAATGGTATGCTAGTTTTAAGTGCGCAGATGCACTCTTTACCACTGCTGAAACCTAAGCGTGCAGGCACAAAGAGAAATCCAGAAGTATACCCAGGCTGCACACCTGAGTTTTCAGGGGGTAAGGAAACCTACTTAGCACTGGTTCATTCCCTAATGCATCTGCTCTCTATATTTACATGTTCTAAACACATATTCTGCAATGTTCTTCCACAAGGTCCTTTCTGCTAGTCATTCAAGCTACATGATTATAATTAATGTAGCACCATCAATGTAACCAGCATCTTACAATGTATGCAAAATGAACAGATTTCTGCTCTTTAGAATTTGGGAACAGAATGGGGGAGAAGGAAGGTATATAAATAAATGTGTTTAAAAGATACAAGTAAACCAAAGCACAACAGTTACATCATGTTTCCCCAATAAGATGGGCATGGTTTCTTCACAAGTTTGGAATATCAATGACAGATGTACTAATCAGCTAAGTTCACCTGATTTGAAAGACTATCTTGTCTCTTGCTTTAAAGCAAGCTGTCAGAGTTTTCACCCCTCTTTTTCAAAGCACAGCATCGTTCTCCTTAACATTCATTGTTGAAAAGCAAACCCTAACCCTAAGGTGGAATCTGTGTGTGCACATGCATGTGTGTGCATATGTATGTGTAGACAAGGGAGTAGAGAAGATTCTCTGCTTTTTAAAAAGAAATCCAGACATCTGAAACTTGAAAAGTCACTGAAAATATGGACTAAATAGGCTGGCCATAGTTTGGAAGAGGAACTTTTCCAGACTACAACTTCTGGAAAGTTACAGGCAGCATACTGAGTGGCTATGCCGACTGGGAGATTCTCAGAGCTGTAGTTTAAAAATGTAACTTCACCTAAGTTCTGGGTATAGCCACGGTAGTTGAGGGAGTTACTTGCTGACCCACAGAAAATCTATTTCTCTAATCTACCAACTGGTAACACAAGGGATTTAATGTGTGGCCTGCCATGTTGTACACTGTTTAAAAGATGTCATATATTTGCTTATTACAGTAGTACCTTGGTTTACAAAATTAATGTGTTCTACGGGACATTAAGTAAAGATAAACATTTGTAAACAGGAATGCAGATTGCTATAGGAATGGGGGCAGCACTATAAACCTCCAAGCACAATGCATCCTGGAGAAGCTTTCTTCATAAACCAAAACAAACAAACAAAATGTAAACTAAGGCATTATTTTCAATGGATTTTCATTAGTAAACCAAAAATTATGTTAACCGAGGCGCTTGTAAACCCAGGTACTACTGTACATTTTTTTTACTAGTGTATGAGAGAAAGGTGTGCTGCCAGGAAGGGAAATGGAATGCACGACATTCTTGAGGAAATAAGTATCTAAACCAGAGCTCAGCTTCAGACTTATTAAAGGAATATGTATTTCCATTGGAATATTTTCTTAAATACAAATGAAACCATGTTAAATATTGTGAAGAGATTTGGAAGGACCATGGTTTCTGCTGCTCTTCTAGAAAATCAGGCTTTGTAGTTCATGACTAGGATGTACTTATCAAAAGAAGGAGGAAAAAGTGCACAATAGTAATTGGAAGGTAGCAGACCCCTGCACTTTGTGAGAAATGCAATGTCAATGCTGTACTGAGCATGCTTCTTGGTATGCTATTAGGAGAATGTTTTCAGTTGAGTGAAGGAAAAGAGGAAGAACTTTTTTCTTCATGGAAGTTTGGAGAAACTTTACAACGCCTGACTGGTAGATACTTTGAAAGGGTCTGGAAAATGGGATTTGGGATATGAAAATGGGGCTGTATGTTTCTTAGTTTAATCTAGTTATTTCTTAGAACACTCAGCTCATTGGCTGCTTTGCATAGAATCCACATGGATTCTATGCTCTGCAGCTATGCTGAAGGTAATGGCAGGATGTAAGTATTAGCATAGGTTAATTAGCTGTCTTATTTTCTTATGGGATTGGCCTGGAAATGTTCTTGCCTCAATGCTTTGATTGCTTTTTTTGCTCCATTGGCCTTTTAATACTTCTGTAACTGTTGAAACTGTTTTGAAGTCTCGCTCTTTGATTTTTCACCAACTTTAATAAAATATAAAAGGTTTACACCTATTTAGTTTTTATGGATTAAGAGGGTTGGTGGCACTACAAACAGGCTCGTCTTGACTATCTACTGTATCAGGAGTCAGTCTGTTTTGTGGTGTGTTTTTGCATTCCTGCCTTACAAGATTGGTGTAAGAGTCAAAGTGTGTAACCTTGCAAATTTTTGAGAACTGTTGGAAAGCACTGCTTAGCCAGACTAAACGTTTTGGGAGAGTACTAGGCAGGAAGATTTCCTATAGCCATCAGAACATTTGACCCTCTTGGATTTCACCTGCACCAGGAAAATCAGGCTAGTCTGTCTGAGTGGCCTGTATAGGCCTCTCTGATCTGGGGTAATCTTGACAAATATTTGTCACAGTGAAAGGAAATGGAAGCTCTTCCTGTCACAAGCAATTTACATTTTCTTTATCTAATCTAGTATCTGAAATTATCTCCAGATTTACAAAGTAAATACTGTATTTTTGCTCGTTGTTTTCTTCTGACAAAGTCTGTGAAGTCAGACAAGAGGGAAACAGCTCTAAAACCTAACTCTTCCATCTTTCCAGTGAATCTATGGGCTTTTCAGAGGGCAACTTGCTACCATCATGTTACCAGATAGGTTTCACTGAATTATCTACAGAGCCCTCCTTTTCTACTACAGATTAGTATAAAGTGATCCCTCTGCATTTTCTCTGCTTACTTTTGTGAGATGTTTCCCAACCAAGACACTTGGTGAATTTTTTAAAAAATTATATACACACCTTTATGGTTAGTCTAAAAAGGAATACAAAGATATTATCACAGTATGCATCTTGAAGACAGTTTTGGTAACAATAATATGTTTTATTAGACAGCTGACTTTTGCCCAAACAAAGTGAATTTTAATTCTACTTGCCTGTGGGAAAGGATCAGCAGATGCCAGCAACACATTTTCTGGCTTCAGATCACAGTGAACAATGTTTTTAAAATGGAGATGTCTCAAGGCAACAAGGATCTATAAAGAAACAAATCTGCTATTATATAACCTTAAGAATTTGCTCCATCTTTATTTCTGTGGGCATGAAGCATAGCAAGCATAAGGAGGACAACATAATTCAAGTGATTTCAATGTGTTTATTTTATATCCCACTTCAAACTGTGAAAACATCACTAGAGGATATCAAATGAGAAGGACTTAATTCTAAAAGCCACACCTAAGTAGTGGCAATATCCTCTCGCTATTACTATTAATAACATTAAAATGTGTAGCATAGAAAAATAGCTCAATGGGTACTCTCCTGTGTGTTAGGAAAAGGCATTCAAGCACATTCCAGCCCAATCTGGTGATGATCTTTTCAAGATTTGGAGCAGAGGTGACTCTGAGAAGCTGATTTAGTGCCATGAATGGGTGGCAGAGAACAAGGTCACTTGTACACCAGTCACCTGAGCTGGTACATGATGACAGATACAAGTGGCAACTTGTTAATTGGCACCAATTTGATGCTGCCATTCACACACACAACTGCACTTATGCCGCCAGAATTAACCAATTAGCAGTGGTTACCTAACTGCTTACACACTCACCTAACTGACAGTAATCATTTTTGAAGGCTTTCCTCTTTCGGCACATGAATGAATGGCTGTAGATTAACACTAGTCATAACTCTGTTGCATGAAACTACAGCATGAACTGTTTTTTTTTTAGTGACAAAAATGTGTCTATTTCACCAAAAAAAGAACAGTAGAAATCAACTTACAAAGCAGAAACTGCATTAGAAATGCATACTCCAGTCATGCTGGACTGTGTTTGCTCTCCTTTCTCCCTCGCACCCCACCTAAATCTTGACTTTTGAACTATGAACACATGGTATAATTCAAGATATTATTATATAAACAGATAATAAGATCTAAACAGCACCTTAATGTTTTTCTGGATCCCTTGGAGGGATGTAGTTAAATACACACAATGTTGCAAATGAAGAAGGTTGAAGCCAAACTTTTTTGTTTAAATATGACTATTAGGCACCCTTACAGTTGGGAAGATATTATTATATATTATTATTATATTATTATTATATTCCCTTCTATTAGGTATAGAAGGGAATCTCATAAGTAAAGAAACAGAAGATATGATGGGCTTTTACCTGTGTAATTAAAAACTTGGTTATTCGCTCTGGTAACCTTCCTTTTTCACTTGACAAAATCATCTCCAACATATCTCCATGCAGCTTCTCCATAACAACAAAAACTCTTTCTGGTGTCTCAAACATACATTCGAGATTTACAACCCCTGGGTGATGCAGATTCTGTTATAAAAGATCAATATTATTTGAATGAATAATAGATCCAATGACAAAGCTCAAAGCTTCGGCAGCCATTCACTTGCTACTAGCAGAGGGCCCATTCGGTCAACCGCAATGAAAAAGAAATCTGTACAAATGTGCTCAGAGCCTGTAAAAAATGATCAACAATATTATTTTAAAGTTATATGCAGAAAAAAATACTTAGCTGTAAGAAACTTATTCTAAGAATAACAGAGTAAAGGGGCATTGTATTTTCCAGCTGCTTCCAACCTGCTTGGCTTCAGGAGCTAAATAGCATGTTTTGCAAAGTTAAAAGGTACTGTATTATTATTATTCAAAAATACCAGGCACAGTCAATCAAGATTATAAAAACATTGACTGGTGTTCTAAAACAGATACAAGTTATAACAAAAAAACCTAAATATCTGTTAAATATCGGCACAGTACGTATGCTGCTCCTAATATTGCCATTTTATGTAGCTCTGGTGGTGTGATTTCTGTGATCTACAACTGCTTATAATACTGGGTGAAATTTCTTGTTTTTGTTCCCAAAGCCCCGATGACTACGGGAACCACAGAAGTGTGTTTCATCTACAAGCAAGATGTTTCAGTTGCCAGATCTCTGTATTTCGTTAGTTTGTCCAATTCTTTATTTTCCACTCTGGCATCCCTTGGTATTGCAATGTCAATGATCCAGACATTTCTTGGTTCTGTTACTACTGTGTCATGTTCAAAGTATCTATCAGTTTGGATCCGGAAATCCCACAAGATCTTGACTTTGTCATTTTCTGACACCTTCTCTACTTGATGTTCCCATGAGTTTTTGGAGGCTGGCAAGCTATATACCTTGCATAATGACCAGTTCACTAATTTTGCCTTTTTTTAATTATTA